TCTTTTCGCGGACGAGTGTCGATATTTTGCAGATCAGATGCTCATATTTGCAACACTAAGTCACTAACGAATGATTTAATTACTAAAACAGCAGGAGATGAGTGTGTAGTTTCCTTTTTCCAGTTATCTAAGCAATCGATATATAATTTAGTTTCTACTGACGATTTTCTATGTTTCAAAGAACCTTCGTCCGCAGAAGGTTAACACTAGATTTGCGGACGTTTGTTCTATACTTTATTCTATTGTTATAGAAATCGCGAAAATTATTTCTTGATTGTTAACGTTATTTCTTGTTTTGAAGCTACAATTTTCGCGATATTCCTGGATTGTTAATTATTTCTTGTTGTTTTGAAGTTACAATGATTCAAAGATTAAGTTCCTACATGGATTGAGTCTAATAGATCTCTTCTAGCCTTGACACAGATGACGTCTTCTATAAAGATTGAATGATCAAGGAGACACATGAAAGGAAAAGAAAGTGTGAACTTGAGAGCTACTCGAATGAGTCAGAATGAGTAATTACACGCTTGTCCCAGGTAGATAGAGTTTTAACCATGATATTAGCAGTTGGGTCAAATTGACTTAATTTAGAATGTTTATTTTGCGAGTATTTAACTCTTTGCAAAGATTCAACACGTTGAAATCGAGTTACTATAGTTCACTGAATTAAACCATGATTATTTGAAAACATTTCTATATTATAAATAATGCTAACTAATGTGGTGACATTCTGCAATAATAACAATGCAATTCAATCAAATGATTCAATATTATATTTTTAATTTAAAATATACAAAACCTGCAGATTCTGTGAATTTGCATATCGAACGAGTGAATAATATTGAATAAGCTAACTTCTTGCTGTTTGAGTAGTCAAATCATTCTGCAACTAGAAACAAACATGAAAGTTTGATTTCGGTAAAGGATTAAACGATGACAAAGCTTTCATGTATATTGTTCTGGTTTTGATAGGAGTTTAGAGACAAGTTGCTGCGATCGCTCGGTAGTTACAGTGTTAAAAATATTCCAAGGCGTTCTGTATGGATAGGATAGTTTCCGAAATAGAAACCGTAGCTTCGCTTTGAGGACTGTTGTCCCGGGAAGCAATACCTTGGAAACTACAATATCGCTTCGAGAACTACGGTATTGCCCCGGGAGCGGCAATATCAACCGCAACGTCAGATCGAAACGCACCTATTTCAGAAACTAGTTTCAGCGCGAGAATCGCTGGCAAGTTAAATCCATCAAACCGCAAAAAAGACCGCGGAGTATTAACACTTTATCCACTCGCTAACTGCCAACAGTGATTTCGCTGTCGCTGGGGAATGAAGGTTTCGAGTCGAGAGAATTTACAATTCTAAAATCAAATTGGGTTCTTTTCAGTTAGTTAAGCTTCATACTTCGACTGTCTGTCAGTCAAATCTGAATTTGACAACATTGTTTCTATGAATATTGATTTTCTTGCCAAGGATCACTGACTTTTTGAAAACTCTCAGTAACTTCAGGAATGTGTCTGTTAAACCTTTAATTAACTTACAATTCAATTCGTGCTTTGATGAATCAATTTTATTAATAACAGCTCAGTGAAACATCTGGTATTTTAGTAATCACAAAAAGAAATCAGAAATCGGTCATTTCGACCATCTGGTAGTGTTAATGTTCTTTTCTAAATGAATCATCGAAACCTAAAACTACCTAGTTCAATTGACTTCTCGAAAACGATCTATAGAACCTCCAAAAGTGCATCGATTAAACTCTTAACCAATTCACAATTCAATTCTCATCAACTTCTCAGCAACACCTCGCAAACATCTATCATCTCACTTTCTATCATCTATTACCATTAACATTCTCCCCTAAAAAAATCCATCAAAACCTAAAACTACTGAGTTTAATTGACTTCTCAAAAACCATTTATAGAACCTCCAAGACTGCATCGATTAAACCCTTAACAATTCAATTCTCATCAACTTCTCAACAACACCTGACAAACATCTATCATCTCACTTTCTATCATCTATTACCATTACCATTCTCCCAAAAAAATCACGAAAATCTCCCACCTACAAAGGAACTCCGCAGAAATCCGCAACGTCTTGGTCAATTGCAAAGGCAGCTTTAAGCAGCCAGCGAATAGGCCGGCGTGGCCGAGAGGCGAAGCCAGCCAGATCTCAGGCAAAACATACAAAACGATGGCGAGCCGAGAGGCAAGCCGAGCAAGGAACCACGGTGCATGCCGGGTACTGTAAGAGTTGGTGAACAGGCTCCGCCGACCGGGCCGGGCATCACGCCAGTCCTACCAAAGTCTTCGTTCCACCTTCGTTCTCTCGCCGCTCCGGTCGCCGTTGTCCGCGTGTTCCTCGCCGCGTGTCGTCGTCGGCCTCTCGTCCGCTCGTCCGACGGTTCCCCAGGAACCCGGGAACCCGACGAACCCAACGGAACCACTCGGACCCGGACACCTCGGCTGCCAGGACACACGAGGACATCATCCGCCTCGCGTCCGCCGCAGCGCCAACGTCTCGTCGGATCGATGTGGACGCGGTAGGTGGAATTCTCCGCGTCACCGTCGCCTCTCTCCGCGTTTTCGAGTCCTCGGACACCGGACGGGTTCACTGTTCCACGGCTAATCAAAGAGACGACGCTGGGTTCGTTGGCAATTAGACATTTTCCTTTTGCGCCGAGCGGCGGGACACCGCTTCGGACGCTCGTGTCCTCGTTTCTCTCGCTTCTCTCCTCCTCGCTCGTTCCTCCGCTTTGTTTATTGGAATTCGAATACTCGTGTGCGTTCGTCGAGGATTCCTCTCGCTGCGTTCGTATGCTCTCGCGATTTCGACTTCGTTCGATCGGTTGGGATGAGCCGCTGGGTTGCGCGTGCTCTTTGTGTGACTGGTGTTAATCGAGTGGATCCATGGATTTGTTTTATTGAAGTCGGTTAGGTTAGGATTGGAAGAGTGTAGGTTTCGTAAAGTAAGAAACGTGGGGAGACGTTGCGTTGATCGAAGACGGAGACTAGATTCGGGTGTTTTATTAATAACCCGACTCTGAATTCGATCGTTATTACGATTTTACCTAGGTTCACGGATCTTTCTACGGTTTTCAAGAAATTTCGAAGAATCTTCCGTGAAGGGTTAATTTACGTATGTTTTCTCAGTAGTTTCAAGATTCATCTTTAAAGGCTGAGTCTTTGAAGTTTCGAGGTTTATCTTTAAAGGCTGAGTCTTTGAAGCGTGAAAGTTGGACATTAAATACTGAATCCTTGAAGCTTCAAGATTCGGCTTTAAAGACTGAGAGTTCGAAGTTTCAAGGATCATCTTTAAAGATTGAGTCTTTGAAACTTGTGAAATCAACCTTAAAGACCGAGAGTTCGAAACTTGAACGTTGAACCTTAAATGCTAAGTCTTTAAAGCTTCAAGGTCAAATCTTAAAGACCGAGTCTTCAAAACCTAAAAGTTAGACTTCAGATGTAATGTCTTTGAAGCTCCAACACTCAGCATTAAACAACAAACAAACGAACACTAAACAATTAACGTCATCCATATCTCATCGAAAAATGTTGAATTCTAATGAAAAGCTTCCGAGCGCAAAGGGCTAACTCGGATCCTTCGATTATTCCTTTGAGCATGTACCACCGAATGTAACCGAGCTCGGTTCGAAGAACTTTCTTTCGAGTTCAGCTGTTGGTCGACCAATTAAATCGGATAAACGATACCCCGCTGCATTCAAGACGCGCGTCCGCTTTTGAAGCTTCGGCCGCCGTTGTTCCCGCGGCCCCGTAAATATTCATGCGGCAGATTTATGCATACGTCCGTCACGTCCCGGTGAAGCAGCTTTATATTCGTTTACAGAGGAGTACGATCGGGTTCTGTCTCTGTACCGTGAACCTTTGCGCGCGCCGGCGCTGAATTATCCGCGAGACACGACCGCGTCAGCCGCGTTTTCGGTCGCTCGAGCCTCGCCGCGGAAGAAATACTCTTACGGGTGTATCGGTACCGATCCGTATTAGTTTCCGTGTTTCGCAACCGGGCTCGCGCCGATCTGTGTCGGTTCTGTAACTGTCATTCTCGGTTTTCTTGTCTTTCCACTTCCGCGTTCGCTGCGGAATACAAAACCGAAAATGACCATGCGAGATATAACCCCTTGACCTATGATTCCTTTCTCAATGGTACGGCTACTTTGTTTAACCCTTTGCACTCGGAAGCTTTTCAGTGGAAATTTTCAATATTTCGACGAGATACAGACTTCGTTTGAAACTAATTTAACGATAATTCACAGATATATTAAGCAAGAAAGCTATTTTATTTACATATTTCACAATACAAAGTTTAATTTAAAATACTTAATATTCCACTTCATAGAAGCATTTCTTTTATTGTTCATTACTAAAACAATTACTCTTACCTCTTTCTCTAAACAAACGATTTTCAATTCCCAACAAACTTCATCACCTTCCAAACAAACCCACCAATACCCAAATTAACCCTTCGTATTTCCAATACTAAGTCGCAAACGAATGATTTAATTACTCGGACAGCAATAGCTTAGCATTTAGCGCATTCTGCTAATATTTAAGCAATTAATCTACAATTCCATCTCCCAAAAATTTTCCACACTTCAACGAATCTTCCCCAAAGGTTTCCAAATCCCGAAGAACCGTCCATGTCCAAAAGAATCTCCCTGAAAGAAAAATCTAGAAACAAACGGCGAAGATTCCGCATCCGATTCGCCTCGGTCCATCCATACGCTCGGTCCAGCGAGCAACGCGTCGCGTCGGTCGCGAGAATGGGCTTGGCTGGCGCGGCGATTAAACCAATCGGGGCCGCGTTCTTTCGGCCGGCCAACATGTTCGCCTGGTCGTCCCCGAATAATAGCGTTTCCAGAGTCGCCCGATGGGGCAGTTGTCTCTCTCCGAGCGGCGGAGGGAAGGGGCCGCGCGACGTGCGTTCGCTTCCGTGCACGCGGTCCTCGATGGCTAACGAAAGATATTGCATGCATCTCGACAGAGCAACGTGGCCGCCGCGACCGCCGCCGCCGCCGCCGCCGCTGCCGCTGCCGCCGCCGTCGTCGGTTCCCATCGATCGGAACAAGCTGCCGGCTACAAGCTGCCGCAACCCGGGAACCAGGGCCTGGTACGCGTGTCCGCCGGCGAGTTACTCGGCAGGACCCACGAGGAGCTGGTGCTCCTGCTGATCCAGCTAAGGCGGCAGAACGCCACCATCTACAAAGCGATGGAGCACTGCCACATGGAGATCGAGGCTCAGGTCCGGGAACGTTTTCAGCGACAATGATGATCCTCCGGTGTCTGTCGGGTTTTTGAGGACTCTCGAGGATAAACGGATGTTTTGACACTGGTGGACTACGGTTGTGGTGTACTATGGTTGAACAGGGGCGAGAGGCGGTTTTTAGGGAGTTCGATGCGAGCAGTGTCGTTTTGGGAATGTTGGGTTGGGACGGGTTTGGGTGAGATGGTGATTTGTAGGGTTGTTTTTTGGGAAATTATAGTTTGAGGATT